GTGAGCCTTAATCATGGGTTCATTTTTCGTAAACAGGGCCCCGCTGTTGTGTCACTTTTTGTCGAGTGAGGGAACTCAAATCCATCCGTGCACTCGTCTATTTCGTATGATTTCAAGGTCGAATACGTCAGCACCACCAAGTTTCGATATGCGGATGTTCTCTCAACGCTCATCGATTCGGCGGTGAAACCGGAAGAAAACTTTGTCATTGCTTTGGTTCAAATGGAGGAAGATTTTCTTGCTGTTCTGAAGGATTCAGTTGGAAACACCCCAGTCACTAAACACGACAAGGTGCTGAAGCATGTAATCCAGTGTATCGAGTCCGGCTGGCCAGCGAAGATAGACGATTTGGAACTGAAGGTGTTCTATAATAGGAAGGACAGCATGATGATTACCCAAGGCTGTGTTCTGTTTGGAGAGCGTGTAGTGGCTCCTCAACTGTACCGAACACGGATTAGAATGAATTCACATGCTCGGAGTTTCGTGTTCTGGCCCGGTATTGATGGGCACATCGAAACCTTCGTGAAACAGTGCAAGGATTGCGCATATGTAGCTAATTCTCTAGCGCGTGCTACACCGGAAGCTTGGCCAACACCGTCCGGACCATGGCAGCGTCTGCATATTGATTTTGCGGGATCAATCGACGGACTTTGGTTTCTGATCATCGTTGATGCGTTCTCGCGATGGCCGGAAATTTCCCCGACGACCAAAGCAACAATACAGTTTCTTCGAAGCTCTTTTGCACTGCCGTTGACGATCGTTTCGGATAACGCTGCACAGTTCACTTGTGAAGAATTCGGGTATAACGGGCAGGCGGAGCGGTTTGTAGACTCGATGAAGCGGAGCTACCGAGCTGAAATCACCGGGTGAAATGCTGTTCGGTAGGCAAATGAGAACAACCCTTGACCTACTGCGGCCGACGGAAATCTCCAAACCCGTCGACTGGAGAGAATGCAGCAACCAAGGCAGTTCAACCAACAATCAATACGAAACTAACGATTTTAAATTGGCTCACCACTTTAGTAGCCTATTGGTCCCAAGCAAACGATTAACGTACCCTATTCTAGTTGAAATTCTATTACTACACTATGTTTGTTTTGATTCGCTATGAAAGTTTGACAGATAACATCAGGGGTGTGTGGATTCATGCAGAACATGCAGGGGTGAGTGAAATAGCTTGGGACTGCTTGGGACCGTTGTTCTGGTACTGAGTGAGCCAAAAATAATAATGATTTTCTTCGGGACCCAGTGGTCTTAGAGTTACCTCTATGGTTCAACGCAGGCGACTTGGTGTACGCTAAAGTGTACAAGCGGAATGATTGGTACTGGGAAACAGGCAAGGTAATCGAGAAGATTGGAACGGTGATTTACAATATCTGGTTGGATGGACAACGAGCTATCCTAATCCAATCGCACATAAATCAACTACAACGAAAGAGAATCGTCCACATCTATGCATCACGAATTGTTGCCGTTGGCAGTACTACTCGACGAGTTCAACATCAATCTACAACCAACGGTGGATATTCCGAAAGATCAGCACCTGAAGGTCAACCGAATGGACATCCAGGACAACGATCATCAATTCCAGGGTCGAGTCAAGAGTCAGGAAGTCGAGCGGTGCGAGCAAGTCGAATTCCAGTGACAACCAGCACTTCAGGACGAGCGGTTCGTCTTCTCGCAAGGTTTGAGCACTACGTTATATCCTAAAGAGGAAGATGCTATAGCACCAACTTATGGTTAGCTACATTGCTGCTAATGTCGTTTTTGTTTTATGCTACACTACACCGGTGTAATGTAAGCAGCAATAAGCGCGAGCCATTCACAGCTCATCATCATTTGTTTGTAAACAAAGGTGCAACCGATAGCTACAGCCTGATTTTTTCGGTGTTCGGCGGTGTAGCACCGGTGTAGCTACACCGCAAAAACAAAAACGACATAAGAGAAAAACTCAACAGCATAAGGGCGTAAACACGATGATCGATTCTCTTCGTCGATTTTCTCTTTAGTTAATAGCTCGCTAGATTTAACGTTTATTTATTTATTTATTTATTTCTCGGTGCGTTTGCTGTTGCTTTTGATAGCCAATACAACCCTGTTACAACTCTGCATTGAACAAATTCTAGAAAATTGTTTCGCTTAGCTGTAGCAATGAAAAGAGAAAATCGATAAAGAGAATCGATCATACCGTATACGCCCTTATGCATGCTCACTGTCGAACTTCAGTAACGGGAGTGTGTATCGCAGACAACTTTAGTCCGGTGGGCTGTCACTGTACAACCACGGGGGTAGAGTCGGTGTATAATGAGTCACGCCAAGAGAAAAACAGTTGAACTCGCATCACGGTTTTCGAAAGATTCCCATTTTTTTCACTTGGCAACAGAGGATTTCTACAACAACTTCAAATGACTTCTAGCGAGAGAAAAAAAAATGTGGCTGTAGTAAATCATTATATCAGTGATTTTGTCAGATTATCCAAGGGGTAAGTCACTCAGCACATTGTGTCAAAATTATATTCGGCACATCTTGGGAACATCCATCGGCACATTTTCATCATACCTTCGGCACAATCTCGTAGGCATTAGATTGTTGTAAATAAAATGGGAGCACTGCTGGACAACTGTCATTGAAGTTGTTCAGAACATTACGTGCTGTTTGACTGTATGTTCAGGAACATCTTCTAATTGAATATACTAGAGGAACTCAGACCAGCAGTTCACTTATAGATCTAAATACGAAATGTAGGTTCCAGAGTGGGCTCAAGAGAAAGAGGCAGTTAATCAGACCTCATTAGTACCCTTAATTCAAATAATGCTGCAACTCCCACAAAACAAACTAAAGAAGTCTGTTGAAGAACTTAATAAGTAGGTGAACACTGTTGAAATTTGTATCCCTTAATTAGAACCCCATTAAAAATTGAATTGTTATACCTCCAATCAATAATGAGCCAAACGATAAGATACGAGAGTAGGTAGACTAGCTTATCACTCTATATCATTATCTCCTTTAGATCGGATCGATTCACGATCGTGCCAAATAAACCCCGAACTCAACCAGTTAGGGAAGATAATGATCGGTTGACCCTCTTTAAATCAGTATTAAATTGGTCTTTATCGAAACACACACAAAACCTTTCTCGTGTTCCTCACTGCATGGAAGAAAAGTACTCCACGAATTGCCCTAATAAAAATTGTATGGTTAATTTGCTTAACGACGTGTTCTGGGTATCATCCAAACCATTTGTGGAATAGTTCAATGATTTGAGTTATCGTTCGTTTATGGTTATTTTTTATTAGGGTGTGCCACTAGTTGCCCCGTTTGTTCCTGCTTCGCTGACCACTGGTACTGGTGTCGTTCCTGCTTTGCTGCTGCCCTGTTCGCCGTGTCGACCGCCACTTCATCCAGGTTCGCCAAAAAAGTCTATTCATCACCCTCTATAGTAGGTCTCCAACAATGCTCCCCAACGGCTAGGTTTCTGGTCTGCCTTTGAGGGCATTATAAAACACTAAAACACAGGACTTTTATTACCCTATGGATCCCGAAACACCGAAATTTCGCACACTCGCCACTTCCCGCGTCATCCTCAATCCGATTTATCATTGCGATTTCAAACCAAAACATTCAAGGGTCAGAAATACCGGGTTGCCGGGATGGGTGTTTTACAAACAATCGCAGCTTGCTCTATGACCGGCACAATCGACATACTTGCGGCACACTGACAAAAAAGATGACCCAAGATTGCTGTGCGGAGTGACCTACCCCTTGCAAATTATCTTAACAAAAAATAGTAGAAATTCTCATTACTGATCATTACCGAACGTATCCCATGACAATTTAAAGCTCACTGCGTGTTTATGCTCATTTCTTCGATTATATTTTATATTTTATTGCAATACCTTTCGTGGACCTTTCATAGCATCGTAATGTTTGTTTACTTTGACCGATAGGTAGCCGGTTTGACGGTTCGATAGGTAGACTTGGCTTCACTCTTGGCGTGACTCATTATACACCGACTCTACACGGGGGCAGCAATCAACTATTTCGTCATAGCTCACATCAATGTGATGGTTGGGTGATGGTTAGCATGACTGCAACATACTACTATTTCTAGCATTCAGCACTGCGACGCAAGCGTAAAAGATTAAGCTGTTTTGTTCTGTCTTAGCCGAGGTCTTACCGAAGAGAAAGAAGAGACAATAGGGGGACTTTTATGAACCAATTTTCTATCAAACGCGAACCAGCACCTGATTGGTTGGGCGAACGTATAGAAACGCGAGAATTTTTACAACAGGGAATCTATTTTCTTGTATTTTGACAGTCGACTGCCAATAATGAAATAATTTTTGTACGGTCGTTTCCGCGAGAGAAGAAGAACACGTCACAGACAAAAAGAAGCCAGTTGTTTCCTCTTCCTCTTAGTGTCTTACCTCCGTCAATTTTACCGCTGTCAGTATTCCCAAAAGTGTCAGATTGTCCAAAAATGTCAAAACCATGTGAGCTATGGTGTATCTATATGTGGTTGACAGGGATAAGGTCCCCCTGTGTATAACGCAATAACGAAACGTTTTCCACACGTGGAGTAAAAAGTTGTATTTTTGAAAACTCCGTAAATATTTATTTCAAGTTGATCCTGTAATCTGCTATGTTTTATTACAGGACACAAAACCCCTAAAGAAAACACATATTCGTAATTTGCTATAAAACTGGAACCGAAATCTAAAATCTCATAAATTTTGGTGCACTGGAACTATTTTAAATAAGTGTAATCATATTAGCAAAAATCAGTATCTTACCGCCCCTCGGTGGGACTTTATATGAGAGCAAGCTGTCAACTAATAGATTTAACGTCAAAAATTAAAAATTTAAATCTTGATTTAAAGATCGAGATCATAAGATTGATAAAAAATATCGTTGCCCTCAGAAAACGAAGCTCTTTCAGATGGTGTATAAAAACAGCTATAATTTTCGAAATTAAACAACCCAATTTCCTTATATTTCAGCTAATGTCAGCCCCCCGCTGTGGTGTCGTTGATCACATGTCACAGGAACAATCGATGCGACACCGGAGATACGTGATAGGCTCGGAAAGTTGGAGGAAGCGAAAAATCACCTATTTGTAAGTTAGCTTTGACCTTCCACAACCGGGTTGGGACGAGTTTAAACTATCTCCAGTAGCTTATTAATTAAAACGTTACAATATGACCTTAATCTTACCGGGGAACAACGAAATCCATTTACCTATAATACCAAATAAAGATCTCCGCGCACTATCGGTGCACATTGGTGGCGTAAACCAAATGTACCCCGCCGTCATCGACCTGTCAAGCCTATCAGCCACCAAAACAACAACAACTTCAACAGATCCGCACCGATTGGGCACACAAGATGACGAATCGCTTGATTACGATCGCACCCCAAAACGGTTCGATCCAAGTGTGCCCCTCGGAGCATCCATATATACGATCCGTAAAAGGAGTTTGCGAACCGAACCTTTTTTTTCCCTCATTCACTGGTCCGAGAGGCAACTCTTTTGTTAATTGAGATTCATTCATTAAGCTCAAAAGAGACCAAAAAAAATGGATGAAAAACGTAAGGCCATTTTTCGGCTTCGGCGCACAGCCATGGTTACCACGCATTGCGCCGCGCCTACATTGATCAGGTGGTCTTAATCAAAAAGAAGCCGAGAAACTGCCGCACATTCATTAAAAGGCGAACTATAAACAATACGTAAACAACATTGCAAAAGTCAACTGACGGACGATGTACATTCAAAAATTATCCAAAGAAACGTCCGAACAAGATGTGAACCTTTGATCGAATAAAAGAGGCGCAATAAAATGAGACACAGACTTTCACTATGATGGTAATTGAAATTATCGACGGGCGTGTGCTGTTGCAATTGAAAGGTTCCCTCCGAAAACGAAAAAGAAAAATACAAAGTAGGCTTCGCGGCACGGGGAACGACAGGTGCAATTAATTTGCTGCACTTCCAACGACATCGTCCCCATGGGTAGCGAGACGAGGCAGAGAAAGTCGGTAGTTACCAATTTATGAACCGTAAATAATCGGGATGGGCTTGGTCGATTGGTATGCCTTAACCTTTACTTATACATTGTTTCAGCTTCATCGTTCACATCTCATAATCAAAAACACATTAACTTTTGAACTTTTTCAAGCATTGCCAACTGGAGTAACAAAGTAGGCGAAGAATCGGTTGCCAAGTTCATGCAGCGGGCCTTCAACGAGTGGGCCAAGTACAGCAACCTGAAGTTTGTCCGCGTTTACGACCCATCGGCGGACATCATAGTGGGCTTCGGCAGCGGTCACCATGGCGATAAGTATGTGCTTGAAGAGTACGCAACGTATTCTACACTATTAATCGATCAAAACTTGCAGCTACCCGTTCGATGGTCCGGGGAATATTCTGGCGCACGCTTTCTACCCATACGAGCTGCAATCCTACGGAGGAGACATCCATTTCGACGAAGATGAAAACTGGAAGGAGAACTCCACCCACCTCTCGGATGGAGTTGACTTCTACTCTGTGGCGATCCACGAGTTGGGCCACTCGCTTGGCCTGGCACACTCTCCGGTGTATTCCTCGCTGATGTTCCCATACTACAAGGGAATCACTCAAGGAACACTGGACTACGATGACATCCTGGCCGTGTATAAGCTGTACAGTGAGTTTCCACACATGTCGTCGAAATTCTTTGAGTTAACCAAACCTGAATTTCCCCAGTTCAAAATCCATACATCACCGATGAACCCATTAACTTCCCGACGGAAACTACCAACGCCATCGACGATGACGATGACGAACAAGACTACGAGGAACGAACCCAGGTCACACCGGAACCCGTCCCACGCCTACCGGACTTTGTTACGGAAGCGATGAGTCCTGAGGCCGACCCAGAACCACCAACCACCACCCAACTGTACGACGTTCCGATCACGTATGTCGGGGACTACACCACCGTCGACGATCACATGACGCGGCATCACTACGATGGAGTCACGAGACCCGATTTGCCCGAGTTCACCCAGATGCCCAATGTCTGCGAGGGAAGCTTCGATGCGGTGGGAGTACTCCGCGGAGAGGTGTTCATCTTCAAGGGACCGTACCTGTGGCGGTTGACCGAGAAGTACCGGGTCCGGGAGGGCTACCCGGTGCGCATTTGGCAGGTGTTCCGCGGGTTTCCCAGAGATGTGCCGAGGATCGATGCCGTGTACGAGAGGGAGTCGGACAACGGTGTCGTGCTGTTTTCAGGTGAGGTTCTGAATATGGGGAGAGGGGTTAGGACTGTAAAAGCTTTTGTGGAAATAGGGCACTGGTCAATATGATCCAAGTGCAATGTAGGCGGGAGCAGAGTTCACCAAACGTGAATTATGTTTAAGTTTTGTTCTCGATTATGGATCTCTGGACTTGATCTAATAGCCATTTAAATTTGAATTGGAAAGCCTCTGAAGTAGACCCGGCTGTCCTCTGAACAGTTTAGAGGCTCTCTAAACTTGTCTACGAATAGAGGATACAACTTGGTCTGAAATTCTCGAAATTCTTCTGCACATGCAGCTTTCTAAATTTGTCATGGAGATGTTCTGAACACGATTTTCACAAGAGCGGGATAACATCAATTTGAAATTCATCAAGGGGTTGTATTTCGTGTTCAAGTCAGTCAGCCAGAGGCGAAAGCCGGGGTAGCTACCCGTGAAGTCAGCAAATTCCGTCCAATAGCGCTAACATGTTGAAGGGCCAAAGTCCTAGAGCGTATGGTCAATCGAAGACTGAAGCAATACCTCGAAGCGGGAAATTTCCTTGATCACCGACAGCCCAACAAGGTTTCAGAATGTCCACCTATTTCGCAACCCTAGGGGAAGTTCTCAAGAACGCCTACGACAGTGGTCTGCACACCGAGATAGTATCGCTCGACATATCGAAGGCCTTCATCAGAACGTGGACGACCTTCATCCTTAAGCAACTAATCGACTGGGGTCTCGACCCATCGTTCATTTCATCCAGAACTTCTTGTCCAACCGCTTATTACAAATCCCGGCTTTTCCCCGAGGAAACGGGTGTCCCACAAGGATCGGTTATCGCCGTTACCCTGTTCCTCGTGGCGATGAACGGAGTCTTCCGTCAACTACCGAAAAACATATATGTGTTCATCTACGCCGACGACATCCTCATCGTCACCACCGGACCCACGCAAGTACGTACAAGGATGAGAGCCCAAGTGGCAGTCTCCACCGTCTCTAGGTGAGCCCACTCAGTAGGCTTTGAATTATCAGCCTCTAAAAGCATCAGGTGCCATGTCTGCCCTTCTCGACACAGAATTAGCGGACCGACGATCAAGACCCATGTAACAATTTGGGTTCTATGAGGGTTCTGACCATTATTTAGACTTGTAGAATGCTGTAAAACCACGATAAAACTTGCAATGCTACTTAGGAATCGTCGACCAGTCCATACCGCTGAAGAAGGCCGTCCGAGTTCTGGGAGTTCTCGTTGACCGATTCCTCAACTTTTAACAGTGCAGTCAAGAAAAATTGCCGCAGCCGAGTGAATCTCATCCGGACCCTTTCCCGACAGAATAGATCGAAAATCCGCTTTCACGTGGCGAGTGCAATTATCGACAGTCACCTTCTATACGGGTTGGAAATGACCTGCATCGCAATGGATAAGCTTTTAGCTATGTTAGCACCAGTCTACATCGACGCAGGCATCCTGCCTTTCCGCTTCCGTATAACCGCAGCTATCGCAACCAAAGCCGCTGCTTTCATCTCGAAGACATCCGGAAATCAAAGGATCTTCCTCCTCGACGAGCGTAACAAACTCCTCCGCACAGCAGCCAACGAGGATCTCCTCCCCAGTGACCAGGGTCCACTGGCATGGAGACAAATTACCGAAAATCGAAAGCCGGATTAAGGACAGGTTCAAAGCCGGAGACAATTCCGTGGCTTCATGGTAAGAGCATCTCGATCGTTACTCCTCCTCAACGATCTCTGCCAATCAATCCCAGCATAGCAGAGAAGCAAGTATATCCGCAGCCATTTGTTCGGTTGAGAAATACAACAGTTCCAGTACCCTATGCATCGCACAACTCCTTGACGAAACACTGCCGAGTCTCAATGTGTCTCGATCGCTTGGTTGTCCGTTCCGAAACAATGAACTTAATGCAGCTCTGGTTGTCCTCCCACAGTGTCACTGGCTTGAAGGACGGTTCCCCGAAGTCGTCGAACAAATTCAGAAGCCAAACAGCCTCTTGACTCGCCTCGCTCAACGCCACGTATTCCGATTCCATCGAAGGCAATGTGACGAAATTTTGTAGACGGCTTGTCCACTAAATGGCTCCTCCTGCTAACATGAAAACGATGCCGGTCGTCGACTTTCGAGTTTTAAAGTCACCCGCCCAGTCCGCATCTGAGTATCCAATGAACTTGTCGTCAGGGACTCCGTACATCAACTGCCACTTCTTTGTACTTTTCAGGTAGCGAACTACCCGGTTAGTCGCTATCCAATCTGCTTCCTTCGGGGCACACACGCATCTCCCCAAAATGGACACACTAGCAGCGATGTCCCGTCTCGCGCAGACTGCGATGTACAGCAGTGTTCCAACTAGACTCCGATATTGCGTGTTAGTTTCGAGTGGAGGACTGTCCTCCCTGGTTTTGACGAATCCATCCTCCATCGGGGTTTTCGCCCTCTTGGCGTCACCCAGGCCGAATCTCTCAGCAACTCGGTCTATATAGCTTTCCAGCGAAATGCCGTACTTACCATCTTCCTTCTTGATTTCCATCCCCAGGAAATAGTTCACATCTCCTATGTTGGTCATCTCGAACTCCTTACTCAGGACCGCATAGATCTTTTCTATCTCCGTCTCGCAGCCGATCAAAATATCGTCAACGTAGACAAGCAAGTATACGCGCTTCCCGTTTACAACCTTCGTGTAAAGACACGGATCAGCCTGACTTTGCTTGAAATTCAAAACTTCGAGAACGGCGTGCAGACGGTGATTCTAGCAACGAGCCGACTGTTTCAGCCCGTGAATACTCCTTTACAACTTGCACACTTGCTTCTCCTTACCATTAATCTCAAAACCGGTTGGTTGCCGCGTGTAGATCTCCTCTTCAAGCCTTCCGTATAGATACGCAGTCTTCACATCAAAATGCTTAAGTACCAAGCTCCGTTTTATTCGCGATAGCCAGAAGCGTCCGCAAAGTGGTCTGCTTTGTAACAGGTGCGAAGACCTCGTCATAGTCTTGACCATACTTTTGACAGAAACCTTGGGCGACTAAACGAGCCTTATACTTAACAGCTTCTCCAGCAGCATTTCGTATTACCTTGTAAACCTCGTTGTAAACCCACTTGCACCCTACTGGCTTTCGCCCAGCAGGGGGTTTACCAACTCCCACGTCTCGTTGTCTTCGTGAGATCGCAGCTCGTCAGTCATGGCTTTTCTCCACTCAGCACCCTTCCCTACCGAGGGGTACGTTATTCGATTTGCTTGGGACCAATAGGCTAGTCAAGTAGTGAGCCAATTTGAAATCGTTAGTTTCGTATTGATTGTTGGTTTCACACTTGGTCTGAGAGGGGGTGTTGTGAACCAGACAATTTACCCTTAATTTGTGTTGTTGTGTTTAACAGTGTTTTAACAAGTGTCAGCTTCCAACCTTGATTTGTATTGCTCTTGATCTTTCTTTTATTCTAAATATAACTATCACTGCGTGGATACGCATTGGACTTTTATTCTCGTCCTCGTCAAAAACATCGTCGCTAAAACACTACCGCCATCTGTTGAGTATGCTGTGATCGTTGGTCACTCTCTCTAGGGCGAGAAGGACGACTGTAGCTACACTGTGGCTAGCTGCGTGCACGCTGAGCACGGCATACATAACAAGGCAGGCTACTACCGACAGTAAACATCTGGTTCGGATGTAAACAAATGACGTCATTGCTATCTTTCAACAGCGCGAACCGTAGCAACGCGAATTGTGTAGTGCGACACGGTGTACACTATAGATTTTATGCCGTGCAGTGCGAGTTTAATTTGTTGAAAATGGTGAAGTGTGCTGTAATTAACTGCAGTAATTACGAAGGGAATAAACTGTGTTCGATACAATTAAAGTATTTTTGGTTTCCGCGTGAGGAAAGTTTGAAAGTTTTGTGGTTGGAAGCCTGCGGTAGAAATTTAAATACGCAACAACATTTGAAAATCTGCTCGGAACATTTCTCCGAGCAAGATTACAGGCTGAAAGATATTTTGTTGAATACGGAGTGGTCGAAACGAAGGCTGAAACCAGGAGCGGTTCCTAGCCTGAAATTGCCAGCGCAGGATGAAGGTGTTGCTTCTTCAACATTGCCAGAGAATTCCGGAAGAAGGTTAAATTCAACTGTTTTCAAAAATATATTTACTTCAATAATATCTTCATAGCAGATCCACTTTGAGCCAAGAAACTTCAGAGGAATACACGAGTACGGCAGGAGAGTATTCTTCTCATAGTACCACGGCGTTGATTCGGAAAGATGTTGGTGTTCAATCATCGTGCCCGGTTTTTTCTCATGACGTTGGCGTTCAATATGTTAACTGTACCAGAAATACGGCTGTTCAAACGGGGTAAGCAGTTAATCGAAAGTTCAAAAAAAAAAAAGGGAATGTAATATGATACATTACTTTTAGGAAAAAACTGGAAAGTTCATTGCGCAGAGAGAATTTGGAATTGAAGAAGAAGCTCAATGGAGAGAAGCGAAAGAATAAAACATACGCCTCCCTGCTGCAGAAGTCGAAAGCATTGAATTGCAATGTTTCGAAGATATTTTCAAAGGGACAGCTGCGAAAATTGCGGGATCCTAATCAGCGAAGAATTCAGTGGACACCTGATGATATTTCTCGTGCGATATCATTACATGCTGCTGGTGCAAAAGCATACCGATTGCTTTTGTCGCGAGGTTATCCTCTACCTGCAGTTTCGACTCTCAAGAAATGGGCAGGGAAGTTAAAGCTTACGCCAGGTGTTTTGAAACCAGTACTGAACCTTTTGGAAAACAGCGAATATTGCGAAAAAGAACGTGTTTGCGTTTTGTCTTTCGACGAAATGAAAGTCAAATCAGTTTATGAGTACCACCGGAGTTGCGATAAAGTTTTGAAGCCATCGAAGTACGTCCAAGTGGGAATGATCCGGGGAGTGTACAAAAATTGGAAGCAAGTCATCTACTACAATTTTGATACTGCAATGAATGCAACTATAATAACGGATATAATCAAAACGCTCAAAAACATTAAATTTCATGTTGTTGCTGTTGTTTGTGACATGGGACCGACCAACATGGGTCTTTGGCGAGAGCTTGGCATCAGTTGCGACAAGCCCTTTTTTACCGTAGACGACCTGAAGGTTTTCACTTTTGCAGACCCTCCACATCTCATGAAACTCATTCGTAATCATTTTCTCGATACTGGTTACGTGTTGGACAAAGGAGAAAAGAAACACTGGATCACCTCCAAGCCAGTTGTGGATTTGTTGAACATTCAGCCAAATGAACTGAAGATATGTCATAAAATCACGTTAACCCATCTGGATGTCAAAGATGCTGCCCGTCAAAAAGTAAAATACGCGGTACAGCTACTATCACACTCCGTCTCACAGGGAATCAGGAGAGCTGTGAGTTTAGGCATGATAACATCTCAAGATGCTTTGATTACCAGCGATTTCATAAAAATAATGAATGATTGGTTTGATTTGTTCAATGCATCATCGGCAACGAGGGGTTTGAGAGAAAGGCTTAAAGCATTCGACCACACAAACCATGTTCATCAAACAATCATAAGCGATTCCAATGAACTGATTTCGAATCTACGAGTACCAAATAAGCGTGCTCTCCTACCATGCCAGAAAGGTATTCTCGTGAATAACGCAGCGCTGGTCGGTTTGTCAGAATGGCTCCGAAACACTTACGGTAATCCGTACATCTTAACAAGACGACTGCAACAAGATGACCTCGAGCGTTTCTTTGGAACCATACGCTCCAAAGGAGGATTACATGACCACCCAACTGCCTTGGAATTCACTTACAGGTTGAGAAACAGCATTCTAGGTAAAATTCCTTTATAGTTTTCGTAGTGATACATTATCTCACATAAAATATCACTCTTAGTAAGTCCTTAGTAAGACTGTTAAGATAGGTGTACACAATTAACTGTTAAAAAATCTAACAAATCTTAATTTTCATTAGGTCGATCCGATGCGACTCAACAAGTCAACAGCAGTAACGTAGAGGAATCTAATGAAGAGTACGATGAACAGCAGTTTACTGGTTGCATGCTGCGAAACATTGCTCGTGATGAAGTAAATGAGACTGGAGGCGAAGGATCGTTGGACTGCGACGACCAACTCAATGCTGACTTGGAACAGGAAGATGCATTAAACTACTCAGAGTTTGAAAAGGACGCGCTTGAATATATTGCGGGATATATCATCAAAAAGCTTAAACTTAAGATTTCCCCACCGGACGAATCCGTTTTTACTTGGGTGGATCAAGTTTCCGAAGGTGGCTTGACAAAACCGGATCGTGCTTTTGCTATCAAGATAATGGCATTGAATAACGTATTTAAACGAGTTCATGGCGAAACATTTGATGAAGAGAAAAAAACCATTGAAACGTGTATGAACACATCTAAGGATGTAGATTTAGCAGAAAATGCTAAAAGACTGTTTTTCCGAACACGCTTGTATATCCGTATCAGATATCTAAACCGTAACATTGCAAACGCTTCGAAAGCAAAGAAAAGGAAAATGAAGAAGATCGTTGCGTAGACTACTCTTTTTTCCACTGTTTTTTTTTTCTGAAATATACCTTCTGTTTGTACTTTATTCGTTTATTTTTAAAAGAGCTTTAATGTGATCTTACATTGAATTTCACTTTATATCACTGCGGGATTTCTGTCCTTAGGACAATTTCTAATGCGTTCACTCATCCGCTTGTCTTATGATCTTATTTTCAAATTCTGATGTGATTTGATGTGCCGCATGATGGGTTTCAGTTAAAGTCAGATTACGTTCACCCCCCCGAGTGGGATGTGTCCGAATGTGGCCGGTGTGGTCCTGGACACTCAATAAGGTCACCAATGACCTTACCTGTGAATTCTGATGTGATTTGAGGTGTCGCACGATGAGTGTTAAATCAAGTCATATTCTGGCCACTTCCCCGAAGGTACCCGAAACATGACCAGGTGTGGCCAATGTGGTCCTGGAAACTAAATGACGCTGCCAATGACTTTGTTTTTGAATTCTCATGTGATATGATGTGTCACATGATAGGTTTTAATTCGAGTCATATTCTGGGCACTTCCCCGGTGGATCTCGGATTATCTCCGGGTATAGCCACTTCCCTGGTGGAATCCGGGGTATGTCTGGGTTTGGCCAATGAATTTGAATGACTTTCATCAGATCAAATCAAATATTAAAGCCAGAGAAGGCATCCTCGTGTTGCTCTCTAGAAAGAAAATCGTTAGCTCAGAATGCTTCTCGTTTTAATTTCTAACATCACGCATCATAAACACCAGCCGTACAGTATTTTAACTAAATGAAGAAAACACAAGCCACTATATTATCCACAATAAAAGCAATAAAATAAAGCAAATTGCATTGAAAACACTAACTTCGCTCATAGACTGCTTTCTCTCGCGCTTGTTTACGAGATGGATAGCAATGACGTCATCGCGCAAATGTCATTTTCCGGAATATCTCACCTCCTATAGTGTACACCGTGCACGCTGAGTAGTTAGAAAGAAGATTTATGATGAATCTGAAGATTTCCTGCAAAAAGATGCTGCGCGATGCAAGTAGATGCGAGAAATAAAAGATTTTTCGAAGATTGATTCGCTAGTGTGACATTTTTTGATCATCTAGTATTGAGATTTAGATGTGTCACCTCCATGGCTCCACAGGCACTCTACAAATATGTATCGGGTTAACAAATACTACAGACTAATCTTGCCATCCACATTCAGGCAAAAAATACTGGATCTTCGACGGACTGAACTTCCTGCACCCGGAAGCTCGATCGATAACGGATTTCGGTTTACCCGATACCTTGGAAAAGGTCGACGCAGCCATGGTTTGGTGTAAGTTTGTAACCATGTCCCAGCAAACATTGCTCTATGTCGCAAACGTAAACAAAAACTTCTTTCGGGATTTTCTCGAGACTGAAAACTCGCCCAAGTAAACCACCATGATGATTGTGTAGATTCCGATAAAATTTGTGGCTTACATGGATAGACTTTGAATCACGAGAAATTTACGAAAGATGCCATTGTTTGCGCTCGCGACATTGGCCCTTATGAATGCTCAGTCCCGATTTCTAGACGAACTTGTGCGAAAGGCAAACAATGACGAATGATACATCATCTGATAGAGTAAACTTCCTCTACCAGATGCTGCTGTTGGTTAGCCTGGATGAGTCTTCATCCGTGAGAAATCGACGTTTAAAGTCATTGCTTCCGATTGCCTCATTGGCCCTTTTCGCACGTTCGTCTTGAATTTCTACTAACGATTTTCGATGAACCTTCCCTCACAGTCAAAAACCAGAAGACCTACATCTTTGCCGGTGATCAATTCTGGCGGTACAATGACACGGCCAGCGCGGTGGACGACGGCTACCCAATGTCGATGGACCGATGGTATGGCATTCCCACTAATCTGGACGCAGCCACTTCCGTCGCCAGTGGTAAGCTTCCGAATGATAGGCTAAAATAAAACACAAACTTAATTCAAATTTCCACACACGCCAGGGAAAACGTACTTCTTCAAGGGAAACTACTACTGGTTGTACAACAACGAACGGGTCCGTCCGGAGCGGGGCTACCCACGGAAGGCGAGCAATATCTGGCTCGGATGTCGAGTTGCCTGAGAGGAGCTCCGCTAGTCGTGTCTGCGTCTGCTAAAATATAACGAAGAAAAGACTAAAACATTCAACTGTCATTTCGAAAGAACACTCCCCATTCTTTGGGTGCAAACTTGCGTGCAAGTTTGGATTGGTCCCCTTTTTTTTCGTTGCACTGCACGCTAATGCGCGCGAATTTATCATCGGACGGCTGCAGCTGCAGCTGTCAGACGCGGCGTTCCCCGTCAGAAAAGTGTTGATGTAAACAATGTGTGCGTCGGCAGTAAATCGTGTCCTTGCGGTGTTCACGTTTGGAGCAGACGACGTGAAAAATCGATCCGCAGTCTCCTGACACACAGAGAGAGAGAAAGGTCAAAACAACCATGTTTTGGCACATTTTTCTGCTCGCTTCGGCGATCAAAATGATGTTCATCCCGTCGTAGTAAGTATTTCATTCATGACCGGTGGTGATGGAAGTTGGTGCATAGTGTCTTAAGTGTTACTCCTGAATTTGCAGCCGCTCGACGGATTTCGAGGTACACCGGAACTGGTTGGCCATAACGCACAGTCGACCACTGACCAAGTGGTACTATGAGGCGACCAGCGAGTGGACCCTGGATTATCCGCCGTTTTTCGCCTATTTCGAGTGGGCCCTGTCGCAGGTGGCGGCCCACTTCGATCCGGCCATGCTCATCGTGACCAATCTGAACTATTCCTCCATGAGCACAGTCATGTTTCAGAGATTCTCGGTCATCGTAACCGATATCGTGTTCGCCTGGGGTGTTAAGCGGTTAGTTGATGTTCGGTAGATTTCTGCGAAATACTAAGATTTGATTTTTTCCCCCCAGGTGTATGACCAAACTGGCCAAGACAAACAACCAATTCGTGATTGGATCCGGTCTGCTGCTGGCTAACATTGGCCTGATAATGGTGGACCACATCCACTTCCAGTACAATGGGTTCCTGTTCGGGGTGCTGCTGCTCAGCATCAGCTACATCCTGACGGGAAACTATCTCGCTTCGGCGCTGTTCTTCGCCATCCTACTGAATCTTAAACATATCTTCATTTACGTCGCACCGGTTTATGTCGTATTTTTGCTGCGCTTTTATTGCTTCCGTAATGGGGGTGCTTTAATTAAACTAATCAAGCTCGGCGCAGTTGTCGGAGGAGTTTGTTTGCTCTCGTTTGGCCCCTTCTACGACCACATCCCGCAGGTAGGTGATAAATTGCTTTCAATAAAAGGTCGCTTTTGTCTTAATTGCTATTTGCAGGTACTTTCCCGATTGTTCCCGTTCAAGCGAGGGTTGACCCACGCCTATTGGGCGCCAAATTTTTGGGCATTGTACAACTTTGCCGACAAGGTGCTCTCGGTGGCGCTGGGGAAAAAAGCATCCACGGCTTCCAACACGGGAGGTCTGGTCCAGACGTTCAGCCATGAGGTACTCCCGTCGATTCCACCGTCGGCAACGTTCGTCCTGTGCGCCTTGGCCATGCTGCCTACCTTGGTCAAACTGTGGTCCCTTCGGAACGAAGCCAACCTGGCGCAGAACTTCATCCGTGCCATTACGCTATGCGCCTGTTCGTCGTTCATGTTCGGATGGCACGTCCACGAGAAGGCCATCCTCATGGTCACCATCCCGCTCACGCTCCTTTCCATCACCAATCGCACCGATGCCCGGTGGACGCTGTTCCTCGGAATCGTCGGCCATTACTCCCTCTTCCCGCTGCTCTTCAAATCGGACCTGACTCTCATCAAACATTCCTTGCACGTTGTCTACACCGGTATCAGCGTCCTGCTGCTGCGGAACATCCACGGAGGCCGATTCCTAAGCATCCCAGAACGGCTCTACCTGTACGGGTTCGTATTCCTATCCCTATTCGAGAACATCATCTACCCGGGCTTAGACCTGGACCGAACACTCCCGTTCATCCCCTTGATGGCCACCAGCGTCTACTGCGCCCTCGGCGTCTCGTACTTCTGGCTAACCTACCAGAAGCACTTCATCTCCCAAACCCCGTTCCTCCACGATTCGACAGCAGCCCAACAACCAAAGCACCAGCATCAGGGACATTCGAAGACAAAAACGAACTAAACCGTGCGACCCATTTATAGCGTTTACATTCCCAAATGTATAAACAAATATATTTATAATTTGCGCGCCACCAACCAACACACCTTCAAACCGCCGTCCGAAACATCCATGTGGCCCCCAGTACCACACCCACCACCACCTCGACCGACCGCTTACTTCCGGTAACGATTGATCCGCTTGTTCGAGGGACAGTACTCGGCGTACTCCTCCCAGGTGCAGCCGGTCCGGGTGCAGCATTCGGCCATTATCGAGCCACCCGAGCGGCGCTTCCCAGTTCGGCGAGTGCGCAAAAAGCTTTGCGCCTGCTCCTTGCTAATGGTCCACCGCGAGAGGAAGGGTAGCGCTGAAAATAGACAAACAAAACAAGACGAGTTTATAGATAGGACTTTCACTTTCACCCTTCGCCGAATCAGAAGACGGCGACGGCGATGACGACGACGACGCGAACGAATGAATGGTGGGAGGTTTGTTGTTGTTGTTGTTGCTGCTGCGCCGAGATCTACCCGTAGGCGCATCGAGAGAAGTGTGGATGTCGAGTTGTTTGCATTTAAAGATGGGCTCTAGCCGATGGCGCAAGCAAAGCGGTTCCATGGTGTAATGGTTAGCACTCAGGACTTTGAATCCTGCGATCCGAGTTCAAATCTCGGTGGAACCTTGATTTTTCTTTTTATTGGAGGGAAACGTTTCCGGGATGCGGTGTTGTTATCGATGATCGATGGGGATGATAAGTGCAAAAATCGATTAAGTGCGTGGATAATAAAAAGGTGGGTTGGAGCCAGGTTCCACCGAGATTTGAACTCGGATCGCAGGATTCAGAGTCCTGAGTGCTAACCGTTACACCATGGAACCCGTTGGTGGTTGAGGACATTTTTTAATCAAAAATAAATGCCAAAGTTGAATGACAATTAAAGTACTGAATATTTTCTATTTAATTATCAATTGTCATTGTAAATTAGTCACTACTTATCTTTTGCATGCTTGGAAAGTTTAAAGCTACCTACACAGATTACTTTCATCAAACTTCAGAGAGGGTATAGGGCCATTTCCATGATTGGAAACGTGATTTTTGTTATTCCAGCTTTGTATAACATCTATCGAACTCGTAAATCAGTTTGCGATATTATGCGGCTGCTAAAATTATCCACAAAGCACTGTTATAAACCTTAGTAGCTTATATAGTCGCGTTGCCAAAAATGGAATCGAACTGAATAGTTGAACAAACGCATGGAGAAGGGGAAGTCTCAAATTCTTTAAAAAAAAAAACTATCTCGCTAATGGATTAGGTCCTAAGTAACATTGACAGATTCTCTACGTTGGTTTTCTCTGCAGTCGCCCCAAGGTCATGTAAAGATATTTCCAGCTATTTTCAACAGTAACTGTGCCGCATTAATTGCTAGATAATAGCTTCTTTCATCGAACTTGATAGAGCTGGAATAAGGGCGTAACAGCTTTTGTAAACAATGACTTCTTTCGATGATTTCTAGAAAGTCTGGTCTCGCCAACGCAAATCAACATTACCACCGGGTAGGTGAAGAGTTCCTCTACCTGATGGTTATGTTGGTTTGCGTGGGCGTGCCTTGAATTCCTAAAAATCATCGAGAGAAGTCATTGTTTACAAAAGCTGTTACGCCCTAATTCCAGTTCTATCTAGAACTGTTCGATGAAAGAAGCTATTGTCTAGCAATTAATGCGGCAAACACGGCCCAAATGGGTTTGTAGCCAATCAATAATTACCCAAAGAGAAAGTCGATGAAGAGAATCGATCAACGTAACTTAGGACCTAAACCATTGTTCTGCTGGAAATTTGTATGGGTCCCATCAAAATAAGTAGAATGTTTTTCTGTTTATAGTGGATTAGTGGCAAAAGTAATCATCTATCAGCAACAAAGCCAATTATCTCAAACTGGGTGGAGGGGGTTGGGGTAGGAGGGGATGTTGTTTGTGGGGTGTGAAATTTCAAATTTATCTTCACGAGCCAGAGTTGTAAAGTATTCGATTCCAAAAATAGTTATTTCGGCAGGTTCCACCGAGATTTGAACTCGGATCGCAGGATTCAGAGTCCTGAGTGCTAACCATTACACCATGGAACCCCGTTGGTGACTTACAAAATGTATATGGTAATATAGAATTAAATCCAAATTTCATATGAAAATAGGTCCTGCGTAAATTTTAATGACGCCAATTTGAGTAACGCTTTTAATTTGCTTTCAGTTTACAAACTTTAGAAACACGTAATTTCTAACTTTTTTTATTAAATGAAAACCTTCAATCCAGTTTCATTGACAATTCAAACGCTAACAAAAATAAGAACAACATTTAATTACATTTCACAATGTTGTGTAATTTTAGATTAAAGACCATATGTTATGTTCAGACTATCTTGATGGCATTTTTCTTGTCGATTACCTAATATATTACAAGGGCTGTAGTGCGAACTAGAGTCGGTGTATAATGAGTCACGCCAAGAGTGAAGCCAAGTCTACCTATTGAACTGTCAAACCGGCTACCTATCGTGCAAAGTAAACAAACATTACGATGCTATGAAAGGTCCACTAAAGGTATTGCAATAAAATATAAAATATAATCGAAGAAATGATCATAAACACGCAGTGATCATTAAATTGTCATGGGATACGTTTGGTAGCGATCATTAATGAAAATTTATACTATTTTTTGTTGAGATGATTGGACAAAATCACTGATATAATGATTTACAACAGCCGCTATTTTTTTTTGGTCGCTGGAAGTCATTTGAAGTTGATGTAGCAGTCCTCTGTTGCCAAGTGAAAAGAAATGGAATCTTTCGAAAACCGTGATGCGAGTTCAACTGTTTTTCTCTTGGCGTGACTCATTATACACCGACTCTAGTGCGAACAAGGCATCGTGTCGTGTTGAAATGAGTGCGCAGTAGGCTCTGCCCGTGAACAGTCACATATTTCTTGTGTTTTCCGAGTGCTTTTCGGCTTCTACAAGGCCAACATAATATTCGATTTCGCTAGGCTGCACGTGTGGAAAGGAAATTTTATCATGTTACTCTTTCGATAAGCTGTTATAACGGTTTATTTTCAGCATTATATTTAACCAATTCGATTCCACAGGGTCATAAATCGACATCAACCATTGAAAAGGGCCTGTGTCTGAAATGTAAAGGGACGTATCCGATCTTGTAAACAATGCATTTGGTCGACGATTTGGCGTAACTGGCAGCTCGCCCACGCATACTAAAACCACTATCAGGTAGAGCAAAATTTCCCATATCTCAGGGTAGTGTTAGAATGCGTAAGCGAGCTACCAGCTACGCCAAATCGTCGACAAAATGCATTGTTTACAAGATCGCATACGTCCCTTCGAAAAAGTAATCGAGTATGGTATATCACACATATTCTTGTTTTCGTTCCAACCGTATTTTCCATACAAAAAAACTTTTTTTTGTATGGAAAATACGGTTTGAACAAAAACGAGAATATGGGTGATAACTTTATTCGATGGATCATGAATAGTTTTTGCTACATAATTAAAATCACTTACACACCAACTTTAAACATTTTACTGACTTTCAAACAGCTGAACATTCGGTAATGAGTTCGGTAAAAGTTAAGTTTACTGAACGATCGGCAAACTTGCGGAACGAAACGGCAAACACTCAGCTGTCAAAAAATACCGACTACTACCTCATCACTCAATACCGAAGCTCGGTAAAATTTACAAAAAAAAATCTGTAAAAATAGAAACGTCGTCAACTGCCAAAAATTACAGTTCTTTCGGTAGTTTTTACTGAAACACAGTGGAAGTCAAGGATAGGGAACTTCGTAAAAAAATCACGCACAATATAAATTGTTGTTAGAAAGTGCGCCGTAAGAAAACTAAAGTCACTCCCAGAGGATTGCAAAATTCCCAGGGTAATGGGGATGAAAAAATTAAATCGAAGGCTCCTACTGCACGGCTGCAGTAAGGATTTTCCTCCATTACCCATCAAAGATAAGAAAAACAAAAAAGCTGCTACAACATACAAGACCCTCTTAGAAGCTTAGTTTGTGCTTTGCTTCCAACATTAGAATCATATCTTAAGCAATTCACTGTTTCATGGCTCCTCCTTGCATCAATCATATCTTTCGATGGATAATTCGTCGAACGAGGTTGAAGATATGATCACTGTGCTACAGTGGATCTGCCGTAGTCTAGTGCCTAAACTAGACTCGTTCAAATTTTTACTTCACAATTCTGATTGTGATATATTTGCTCTCTGTGAAACATGGCTTTCTTCCGATAAAGAACTCAACTTCTACGATTTTAACATTATACGCCTGGATAGAAACGATTCTTATGGAGGAGTACTTTTAGGGATCAAAAAGTGAACCTCCATTAGCCGTAGTCAACTCTGGAATCTAGTTTCGATTCTTCCATCCCAGTATTAATTCTGGGTGATATGAACTCCCATGGTACTGGGTGGGGCGATCTATATGATGACAATAGAGCGGCTATTTGTTACGATTTATGCGACGATTTCAACCTGACTATTTTGAACACTGGTGAAGCGACACGTATAGCAAAACCTCCGGCTCGAGAAAGCCGACTCGACCTATCTTTGTGTTCAAGATCGCTATCATTGGATTGTCAGTGGAAGGTTATCAATGATCCCCATGGTAGCGATCATTTGCCTATCATCATTTCAATAAAGTGTGGCCCTCACTCTGCAGAACCATCTCGGGTTCCATTTGATCTTACAAGGAACATCGACTGGCAGAAATATGCAACGGCGGTGACAATCGGTGTCGAATCAATAGATGCGCTTCCACCATTGGAAGAATATCGATTCCTAGCCGATTTGATTTACAAAATCTCACTGGAAGTACAAAAAAGAAAAGTTCCAAGTGCACCCTTTAAAAGGAGACCAGCCACACCTGGTTGGGACGAAGAATGCACAAAATTGTATGTAGAAAAATCTGATGCTTTCAAAGCTTTTCGAAGACACAAAACCTCCACTTACTTCGAGGAATATTCAAAGCTTGAGACAAAGCTGAAACAATTAATCAAAGCAAAAAAAAATTAAAGGGTTGTGTCCTAGACCGCAGTATGACGTAGAACTACGCAACATTGATGCATGCCATGCAAAATGGATGTATGTCATCATTGATACTTTATCTTAAATTTTTAAAGTATTTCAATGTTGAACCATAACCGATATGGTTCAAAACTCGCGACAATTCATGTTAGCATAATCAGACCACGGTTCATCTTACGCATGAGATAATGTATTTAAATTTAATGTAATGGTTAAGAATTGACAGAATTTCCCCTACATAACTACCTTCGGTTGATCAATGTTGAGTTATTTTGCTGTGA